GAGGGCACAGACTGAGAGCGGCTGAACATGAGCAGCTGTGCCCAGGTGGCCAAGAAGGACAATGGCATCCTGGCCCGTGTCAGTAATAGGATGGGCAGTGGGACCAGCACAGGGATTGTCCCTTTGTACTCAAAACTGGTGGGGCCATACCTCGAGTGCCGTGTCCAGTGCTGGGCCCCCCGATTTAGGAAGGACATTGAGGTGCTGGAGTGTGTAAAGAGGGCCATAGTGGTGGTGAAAGGTCTGGGTCAGAAGCCCCACAAGGCATGGCTGAGGGAGCTGGGGCTGTTTAGCCTGGAGGAGGCTCAGGGGTGGCCTCACCACTCTGCAAATGCCCGAAAGGAGGCTGTAGCCAGGTGGGGATCAGTCTCTGCTCCCAGACAACCAGCAACACGAMAAGAAGACACAGTCTTAAGATGTACCAGGTGTTACAAACAAACACAGAGGAGCAAACAAAATGAAGTCTTTGCGAATAAAACAGATGGAACCCAGAAAGGTTTGAAATATACCCAGAAAACATGTTTAAAACCAAATGAGGTTAGATGTTGGTGCCAAGAAATGGATGTATTTTATTTAATATTAAAAGAGGCAAAGAGGAAGAAAGAGAAAAGAAAGAAATAGAAAAAAAAGAAGTGTGTGTGGTGGGTGGGGGACAAGGAGAGAATGACAGGGGTTAAGTAGAAACATATCACCCTTCCAGTGTCCCGAGGAGYCTTGTTGCTCCCCTCCATCTGCTCTTCTGGGTGGTGAGGGTCCCCCATTGCCGTGCTGAAAAGTATAGAATCCAGTGGATTAATACATGTTTTGGGCAGGTGTGAATGTCCATGTGACATGGTAAGTTTGACCCTGTCCCTTGCAATGCTGTGGATCTGTAGTGTTATCTCTGGTGCAGGGTCTGGGAACCCCCTGGGGTGCCTTTGATGGGCTGTGACACCCCCTCAGTTGTCCTTCACATGGATGAGCTTTTCCTGGGGTGTAGGGCCACCACAGCTGGGCTGCTCTGCACAGTGGAGGGTGGGAATTCACTGCCTCTGACCAGAGGCTTTCTCACCCCACACCCAAAACTTCCTCCCCTGCCCTTTGGTGTGAGGATCTGTGCTGGCCTGGCAGCTGATAGCCCTGGGGCTGTGTCCACCCCAAAGGTGCTAAACTTGTGCTCCTCTCCCCAGGTGACTGTGTTCTTCTCCCAGCCCTGGGTTGAGTCACTTTATCTTATCTTCATCAACCAACAGTGGCAATGTAGTTCAGGRCCCCATTCAGGGTTTTGATGGTTTTGTCTGCAGTTTTTGTACAGTTTTGCTATAATAGGCAAAAATCCTTCATGAAGATGTTTAAGCCATAAACTGTAACACCCCAGTCTCTGATACCAGGGGAGGTCCAAGTTGGACATCAGGAGGAATTYCTTCACAGAAAGAGTGATTGGGCATTAGAATGGGCCGCCTAGAAAGGTAGGGAAGTCACTCTCCTTGGACGTGTTTAAGACTGGATGTGGCACTCAATGCCATGGTTTAGCTGACGTGGTGGTGTTTGGTCTTGGGTTGGACTTGGTTGTCTCAAAGGCCTTYTCCAACCTATTTAATTCTGTGTGATTCTGTGAGTCAGGTGACCCAACCTGGCCAAAGGGATATTTCAGACCGTATGACATCACGCTCTGTATATAAAGTGGGGAAAAGAAAGAGSAAGGGAAGGACATTCGGAGTGATGGCTTTTGTCTTTCCATGCCACTCTAATGCTTGATGATGCCCTGCACTCCTGGGTGGCTGAGATGAGATGGCTGAACACCTGCCTGCCCATGAGAAGCAGTGAATTAATTCCCTGTTTTGCTTTGCTTGTGTGCACAGCTTTTGTTTACCATATTAAACTGTCTTTATCTCAACCCATGAGTTTTCTTCCTTTTACCCTCTTCCTGAACCCACTGGTGGGGGAGCGAGTGAGCTGTTTTGTGGGGCTTGGCTGTCAGCTGGGGTTAAACCACATCACTAGGTGTAAAATCCACAGTAATATCACTAAGTGTAAAATCTGTAATAATATCACTGAAGCAGTGTTAATTTAATCTGCTCTGGGGTAAATTAAAGAATATGCTCATCTAATGTGATAAAATGTGTAAAGTTCCTGTCAGTTCTAGGGAAGTGGTATGTGGAGATAGGCAAAAAAATAAGAAGGAAAACAACATGAGTCAGAAAGAGAGTGTGAATCAGCATTACTGGCTGAACTGTTCATCAGTCTGGTAACTTGCTGCAGAAATTGATTTGTTTTGTTTCAGTAGTAGAAGAGGAAATGTGCTTATTCTGAGCCTCTGCATAGAAATGCCAGCAAAGATAGCCAAGACTGCTTCTGAGTCAGTGTGCTCCTTTCTTCTGACTATTCTGGTATCAAGTTATGAATCTGAGTTGAAATTAATCTTTCTGATTAAGCTCCTCTGCTGCAGGATGTAGGAAAACAGTAGAAARTATATGTGAAGATAAATGAAACAGGAATGAGGCATTCTGGTATAGAATATGATTCATTTATCAGAAATAATAGTGTGAGAAAACTAGCTTCCCAAGTTTTATATCTGCAGTGGCAGAGTAACTTCATAAGCATGCTTGATGTAGGGAACAGTGAATACATTAACTGAAGAAGTGCTGTTTGTATTGTTTGTGGGCTTTGATCACATATAGGGAGCATCAGGGGAACTAGTCTGTAATGGAGGGAAAAAAGGTGATAGCCAGGTGCTGGAGAGATCTGCTTCTTCTGCCTTCTACATTTAATTAGGAAAACACAGTTTTGACATGGTGCCAGGTTGTTTAAGGAGCCTTGTTTGTGGAATCATTTTGCAAACAYTGATGCTTACTGTGATCATGCTAGAGCTGGTGGTATGATGACAGCCTGATGGCAAACCATCCACACTTGCAGCTAAAATGCCATCATGTCCATGGGTGCATTAAATTAAGCAAAGCTTAGATTTTCCTTTGAGGGGAAGTTCCAGCAGTTTCTGATTGCAAGGAAGTGTGCAGATTTAGAAGATACAGGTACATAAAAAGCATTTTTGTTCACTAAGGTGAGGCCTAGTAAAGGAGCTGKAAACAAAACATTGCTCTTACACCTTGCTCTTTGCCTTTGGAGAAGTGCTACAGTGGTGGACTGCTGTAATATTTTAATCTATTTATCTGCTGTTGCTTTTCACATGAGAAGTATATTCTTTGGAGGCTGAATGCAAATAACTTGAAACTAAGTGTAAAAAGCAGTCATCAGTTGTTAAATTACCAGTAGTTATCAATGATTCACCTTCCCTCAGATTGTTTTATGAACTGTGTGATTATATAGGTGTCTTCCCTCTCTGACTTCAGATCACTGTTGACAGCTCTCCATGCTCTGTGTACCAGATCGTTGCCTCCCACTGGATTTTTCTGTTCCCATAGTTGACAGAGCTCTTGGCCCACCGCAAAGTTAGTTSACACCCTGCAAGGGGAAAGGACCAAAAGGGCCATTTGTCCTCTGCAGTTCTGAAAATTCCGCACACCTTAGTATGGACCCTGGCATTTGTATGGGAAGGTGCTTAGAGCCGGCCACTGCATCAGTGCTAGTCACAAAATAGTTGCAGTGTGCAAGTACAAAAGTATGAAACCTAAATCTTGCTGTCTAGTAGCTATAAATGTCAGTTCCTGGTGTTCTGTTGTTATTGAGGTTTTTTAAATTTATTTTGCCCTTGAAGACAACCACTGCCAATCTGGTACTAAAAAGAAGGAAAATTTTCCTCTCCCGCACTCCTCCCACTCTTTTTTTATGTTCTTGGAAAACTTTGAAAGCAACCATTCTCCTTAGCAGGAAAGGCAGAAAAAAATGGAAGGAGTAATCTAACTGGGTGTGGACTGAGTGAAAGAATTTTGTTAAACACAAATGTGAAATGAAGATATAGAAGSATGGAAACACATGGTGGGTAGAGATGATGTAATTGAACGACTAACTCCGGTCCTTGCTTGTGTACTAGAAAAACAATCAGCCTTTAAATTTATCTAAAAATAGTTATTTGGCAATTATTTGATGATATTCCTGGAATTAGCTAATAAAATTGAATGTTTTATAAGACTTCTGGTCTTTATAAATGAGTATTTTTTTATTTCTTAACCCTGTTCTGTGGAGGGTAGAAAAAGCCCCCTGTACAGTCATATTTTCATGTCCACTTCTTTCTTTGTTTTGTRTRTGTGTTTATTGTTAGATTTAGAGCAGCTGCAGTCCTCTGTTCTCTTCTTAAATTCCTCCTTTAGAGTTTTTCTCTTCTGGTCAGTACTTAAATATTTATCTCATTGACATGATCTGTTGCTTACCACTGCTTAACCTTACTTGGATAAAGCCCATTATCTAGTTTAAACCTGTTGTTTTAAAGCTGTAGAGAGATTATCTTTTCCAGATCCAGCTGTGCACATTGATGGCTGTGTAGTTTCTAGCTGCACATCACTACCATGATTGTCCAGTTTTCCCCCGGTTTAGTCCATGGGGTAATTTGAGAGTGTTCCTGAGTCTTTCAGGCAGACCTGGCCAAAGAAAGTCTTCTGCTTAAGCAAGTGCAAGTGATTTTACTGGAAGTGAATTAAGATGACCAAAAGCTTTTGGTGTAGCTATAGGTTTCTGACAGGACTGTTTTTAGTATACCTGTTTGCTGAATGAGCGTCTGTTTACTGCTTTTTTTGATAAAAATACCTTGGCATCTCTCTTGAGATTGTAATACGAATGCAGAATCTGGAACAGCATTTTCACTGATGGGAAATATTGAGAGCTTGGATGCAGTGATAAATTTTGAGAACTTTTCTGGTAAGAATAGGAGGGCAAAACCATAAACATCACTTAAAAAAGCAGAGGGCACAACCTTGTAGCATAGATAAAATATTAAGCATATGAATTGTTTTTAAAAAGCTAAATTTTGAAAATTAAGTAAAAGGCCTTCTGTGTTAAGTGAGAAAAAGATATTTTGTGTTTTGTTTATATTTACAGTTTGAGTAAACAAAGAATCTCTTTTTTAGGGCATCCAAGATGGATCTCAAGTGTGCTCTGGAAGAATGTTCAATGGCATTGAACTTATTTCTTAACAATAAGTTCTCTGAAGCACTGGAACTACTTCGTCCATGGTGAGATTCTGTTATTTGTTGAAGTTATTGTAAACTGGTTGTACTAGTACCTGAAGATTAATTGAAGCCTCTGAGGCTAGTAGCTTTAACTTAATTTCTTTTATCCAAAAACATTTCTCCATATTTGGGGGTTTTAAAGTTTTTTTTGTTTTTGTTTTTAAGACCATCTCAAAAACTGTTGATGAAGCACTGAATTATTATGTTAGAGTTTATCATTCAAGCTGTCTTCCCTCACACAGATGGGAAAAGCTGGGGAACAAGACCTTATTCAATGCATCTTTGATCGAATRATTTCTACAGTGAAACTGCTTTTGACAATACAGAAAAGCTGGAATAAAACTCCAGGAATGCTCTTTGTTGTGTTTTGTATTATGTTTGAGTTTGGTGTTTATCTTTAAGCTCTTTTTTGTGTTTTGTATTATCTTTTGAGTTTGGTGTTTACCTTCTGACTAATTCTGCTTGTTCCCTTATTGCCTTTTCTCTACTGAGAAGAAAAGTGTGGCAGTGCAGATGTAGGGAATTAAAGAATATGGAGAGGTTCACATATGAAACCTTTCTTATCTGTGACTTTGTGGGTGGCTGATCTTTGGGACTGGGATCTGAATCCCATCCACTGTTCCTCTCTGTGTCAGAAAGATGATAGTGAGGGATGTGATGGCAAGAGGGATATGTAGCCTGTGTTAATTGAGCGAGGTAATATTCTTGCTCTGCAGTTTGGTGCTAGTAAGAATGGATTAAAAGTGATGCGTTGTATGAGCAGTTCAAGAACAACTTTAAATGAAACTTTAGAAGAATGACACAGCCACCAAATGTTTCCTTTCAGTGGTGTGGAGAGCTCAGGTGAGGAAGGCAGCAGGCATGGATATATTTTAAAATGAACTGTAGTTAGATTATTTTTTGAGCATTGTGTAGTAATGGAGCAATGCTTTGAGAAAGGCCACCTGCACTTGTGTGTGTGCTAAAACCATTTTTGGGTAGTATTGCAAAATAAGTTCTACATGCAAGGATTGTGCCTGAATGTATTGCTGGATACATGCATACACATCTTGCCCAAACGTTTTTTCTATATTTCATTCTGCATTATAAAACAAAATCCCCCTTATTTTATATTACTATTTTATGTACAGCGAATTATTTGTTTTAATGGATGTTTGCTAATAAACTTTGAGCTTACTATTTAGTGTATCACAAAGGTTGGCCTATCCTAGCAGAGAAACAAAAAGCTGCCTTTTAAAAAAAGAACAAGTGTTTCACTGAAAAATACCCTATCATGGGAAGTTAAGTCCTTAAATAATGTAAAAGTTGTAGGGTGTTGATACATTTGAGAAATAGAAACTTAGCCCAGAAGTCTGCCTTTGCTTAGGATTTCTGTCTTCAAAACTGCAGTTGGTAGTTGGCTCCTTGATATAGAAGGAAGGAAAGATGTTGAGKAAACTGGAGATGATCCAATAGTGAGCTAGCAGCGTATCTAAAAGATATGTTATATCTAGAACATATGACTCATTCAGCTGGATTTGGTTTAGTTTGACAAAAGGGAGGCTTGGGCATTAATCTAGTATTAATCCAGCGGTCTGGATCTTTAGAGGGAAAGCTGCAGAGGCTTCATCTCCAAAATGCCAGATGGTAAAACAGGAGTAAAGTGTCCCAAGGTGGGGCTTAAGAGGTTCAAACTGGACACTGGGAAACTGTACATCACTAGTACAATATCCAGAGTGGCTGCCAAAGGAGTATGCAGTGTTCATTTTCTTTAAGTTCTTTGAGTTTATTATTTAGTGATACTTGGTTAGGCAAAACCTGACTTTGCCTGACATAAGTAGGCAATAGTGCTGCTGCAATTGTATGTGATCTGCCGAGCACTTTCCAATAATTGCTTTTTAAATGGTATAATTATGTTGTGAAAGCCAGACTAGTTCAGTGTAGTCTTCTATGCTGAACTGTGCATATGTGTGTACTGACATTTCCATGACGCAAATGTACATTTTGTCATTGGATCACTTAATAATGTTAGAAGAACCTTAGTTAGTCCTTACTTATGTTAAGTGAAAGCATGTGAACAAGTATTTATGTCAAGGCTTAATTAAACCAAATAGATATACCAGCAGACTGTAAATGGTATATTTAATTAAATGTAAATGTTTGTGTAACCCTAGTGGGATATTTTCTGTAACTTGGAACTCCACAGTGTCCTGTGGAGGCAGACTGAAGCATCCATTGGAAGATGATATTGCTAGGTTATATTCTGATGTCTACTTTTCTGCTTAATTCTTCTATCTGTTCACAAATTTATACAAGTGCCTCTGCATTTAATTTTGTATTGTGATGTGAAGTGTTGATTAAATACACAAGATTTATGTTTTCCCTAGGTCCAAAGATAGTATGTACCATGCACTTGGGTACAGCACTATTTTAGTTATGCAAGCTGCTATGACCTTTGAACAACAGGATATACAAATGGGGATTTCTACAATGAAGGAAGCTTTGCAAACCTGCCAAAGGTAAGCCCAAGCAATGACTTGATATTATGAGATACTAAATGCAGTAAGCATTCCTTGTGAGATACCTGGGTACTCTGTATGCTTTTAAAGCAGACTCTTGTCTGTATGGTAGTGATACAAATTTGTAAGTCCCACTGCACAATTATTACTGGTGAGGATATTTTTCCACACAGTGTTGTGGAAACAACAGGCTTGTTGCATCTGGGTATTAAGAGCTGCTAAAATKATTTAAATGTTTGGTTTGCTGTGTATAGCTACAAATAAGCTGACATTACACGATTGAACTGTCTCTGAGCTATTGCCAACTGTAACTTTCTGTTTTCCAACAGTTTAAAGGCCCATATTTTGAATTTTCTGTTTCATCATGAAAGCAGTCTATTTTAAAATGTCTCCATTGGTTCCACAAGTTGAACCAATAGTCTAATACAATTAAGCTTGTAATAACATTTCTTCTAAAAACCAAATGAATTTTTTCTTATTGCTGCAAATCTGTTTAGCTTACCTTGAAAAGCAGTTATTCACATCAGAATTGAATATTTCTTTGAACAACAATGAAATAGAATAGAAAAAAGTTACTAGTGATTTTTTTTTAAATTAAAAAAAAAAAGAAGAAAATGGATTGTAAAAGCTAGATATACCTCTGACAAAAAATGGAAATTATTTCTACTTCACTGGTTCTTCTTCGTATTAGATCATAACTTGCCACAAATGATCTTGCAAGAAATGACTGCCAAATGTTAGTTTAGAAATACAAATCATTGTCTTAGCAATGATAAAAAAAAAAAAGGAAATGAGAAAAAATTATCAGATACTATCTGAAGAAAAAAAAGGGTCTGCAGTTTCTGCATCTTTTTCAGATGTGCTATCAATTCGCAGTTTCATCTGAACTATATTGTTTACTATRTCTGAAGATTTATATCCCTGTAGTCTAGACACCTTCAATACAGGATTTCAGTCTGCAGGATATGAGCTTTAATTCATGAGTACTCTGGTCTAGTTTGTTGCAAAACTCATAAAAATGCGAGAGAAAGGTAATCAAATGTTCAAAGGTGAAGAATTACCAGAACTTCATGTACCTTAATTGACTCTTTTCTTGTATGCATTATATTAATGTGTATTGTCATAATCTTGTTTTCAGAATCCCACAGTTTTCAGTGTGAAGAGTAGCATAAACAAATGGTAAACTAAAGCTTAGTATTTATAATTAGTGMCTCCCTGTCTTACATACTGAATTCATTTTCTGAAAGCAGAATTGTTTCTTTAGCTTCAACTCAGAAAGCTGAGTTGCTTGTAAATAGTTGACAAATTAATTTTTGGAATTAAAACGTGTACAGTTGAGATCTGTTGGAAGTGAAGTATGTGATTGTTTTAGTATTTTGTCTGGCACAAACCACCATAAAATACTGAAGCATTTATGTTGAAAACAGAGCTTCTTTCAATTTTTTTTTTAATTTTAATTCTGAGTGCAAGTTTAAGAAATGCATAAAAACAATTAATAAAACTTTGAAGTCCGGTTCAAGTGTCTTGCCCGGCATCAGAGTCACCTCTACAGCTGGTCAGTGCAAGTGGGGTTGAAGCTATGATACATKTAAACAAGATGAATTGAAGTTGCAAGCATTCATTTAATGCTAGGCTTTTTAGTCTAGAGGCATACAAGTCATCAGACTGTTGTAAGAATTGAAAGAGATGGCAAATGATCATTTTGCTAAGAATCTCTGTAAATTTTGGTTTGAAATTATTAAAAAGTCCAATAATTAAATTCAGGTTTGTGTTGAAATGTATGGATTTTTTTTTCTTCCATGCACAACTTTAGATTCAGGAAGAGAAACACAGTAGTGGAATCCTTGTCCAGTCTAGTTTCAAAACAGACAGTGGATCAGTTGAGTGAAGGTAAGTGGTTTATAATACAGATAAAATAAAAAAAGTGAAAAAAGCTCAAAACTACTGTACCAATGTGTACAAATTCACTTAACTCTATAACTTTACCAGTGTTTTATAGTAATAATCATGTAAACTGTGTATGTAATATTTTCTTTTCTAATTTGAATGCAAAGCTTCAATGGGGAATTCAGCCTATTTTTTTTGGTCTCCAAGCATGCACGAATTACGAAAGGAATGCCTTTCACAACACATTATAGGGCTGAAGGGAAATTTCCTTTTTTTGTCTTAAGACAGCTCCCAAAAGTTTAAGTATCATTGATGCGGAGAATACATCCTTGTCATTAGTTGCATTGGAATCTGAATATATTAACAAGTTTTGTGCTTGTCTGTTTTGCCTTAAGGTGTTTTGGGAAATGGTATCAGTACATTGTTCATGGCTCTGAAAATGCTGATCTCCTATTTCTGATTCGGGCAGAATCAAGTATGCATTTTTTTCTAACCTGGCACAAGAATCCTCTTTAATACTTGGACACATCAAACTCACCACGTATGCACTGTACATACAGCAGCCTTGTGCATGTGGCTGGTCTTGCAGCATGGGTGCAGAGCAACTTGTGTCATGTGTGTAAAATCAAACGTACTTTAGTGCTGCATGAAGACAGAAAGTCTGCCTGGGGCTTTCAGTTTGTTGAGCATGACTTGGTGAAAACCTGTTCATAATGTGTTAGTGGACACAGAAAAACCCTCAGTGAGGGTTACTATTCATGTCCAGGAGTTTCTTGCAAGACATGGAAGGAGGGCTGAAAGGCTTAGTTGCTATAGGCAGTTAAGCTTAGAATCAATGAAAAGTACAGGAGAACATATACCAGAATGTCAAGTAGCTTTTGCCATAGACTGAGGTCAGGCCTGACAAGGTTTTGTCTGAGAAGGGAAGTAGAATTCTCTTGGGAATTGTGTGTTATAGCTATTACTCAGCAGTWATCAAAATGGCAACAGCAGAATTTTGCTTTCCTTTTTTTCCCCTCCCCCCTTGTCTTGACAGCATTTTGTTCGTTCCATTGACCCCAAGAAGATGATATTGACAATGACTTTGCTAATACTAAATAACTTTTCTTTCTTACRTAGAGGAAATGCATGCGGAAATCTGCTATGCTGAATGCTTATTACAGAAAGCAGCTCTCACCTTCGTGCAGGTAAAGTCAACTTTTGATTTTGTGTGGCAGTGTAATGGAGAGAGATTAGTGCTTGTAAAACATCGTTCCAACAACAGATACAATATTTAAAACCAAACCTTCTGCTCATGAATGTTGTTTCATGGCTGTGATTGGAAATATGGWAAATCCTATTCTCCTCAGCAAAATCCTCTCTTTGTTTACATGAATAACCAAAGATGTTATAGATATTCAAGCACCAGGTATACCCAGGTATAGTGTAGTTTTATACAGGTGGTATGTTTAAATTATTTATATCATATCAGACAGTGTCTAGTGCTTCTATAAAAAGAAGTTCAAGTATGAGGAAGTGTGTTGTTTGATAGTGTAAGTAATTTTTTGCACAAACAGGYAAAACGTTTCCCAACTAACAAAACTTTATCTGATACACACGTGTCATTTCCAATTCAATCTTGCTCTCTATGCACTTTGACATGGTGTCAGGAATAATATAGTAATAAGTGATTATAAAATGAGCATGCCTTAGCATTGCTGAGGCAACACCTCAGCTCACAGAAGGATTTGGTATTTTATACTRTCTTAAGGTGATTTAGGTAGTGGTTCAGGGACTTCATACTACAGAGTTTTCAAATTCAATTTGAAATTTGATCCCTGAAAACAGGAGTTGTGAGTCATACTTTTTTAATGCAGTCATGGTTTAACAAATGTTTATTGAATATATTTTAGATAATATTTTCCAATATAAATTATGAGAAAGAAGTGAGGCACATAGATACTAAGCTCAGATAAGTTCCTTTGGCAAATATTTATAAACTACTTGATCCAGTATTTGGCCAGAAATGTCTGGAAATACTATTTGTGGAATGCCAGTCTTTCCTATGACTGACTTTCTCCTTTACTAACCAAATGGAAGCAACCCTCTGTATTTTTGTTCGGTCAGTGTGATATTTTTAAGCATGAAAATAATTTTGAAAAGCTTGTTGAAAGAGGTGAATTAGGACTATATAAAATAACRAAAGAACCACCTCAGTGTTGCTTTTGACTGTAATACTCCATTCTGCTGATTGCTGTCCTGCCGCGTATTTTTCATCCTTGGCTGACCATGGTTYATGTGAGGATGATGATGATGATATAGAAATGTAATCACTCAAAAAGAGGGAATTAGAATGCTTGTATTGAACCACTTGCATTTGGTGTTCAGACTTGCAGACAAAACAGATGAGGTATTTTGAAATGGAGATCCTTTTATGGAAGCCATTATTTCCTTWGATTGATTATTCTAAGGCTTTATTTTTGTCGCTTTTTCATTGTCCACATTGTATATGCTGCCCTTAAGTATTTAAATGTGCATTTCTGAAATGCCAGCACATGTTCTCCTTTTATGTGAATTCTAGGAGAAAAAATTGYATCCAGTTGAACTGATACCATCTTGCTTTTCAGTAATTTTTTTTGMTGGCTAGTACATTGTGGCTTCATTTAGATTTTTCTAGAGGTTAATAAGCAGATACAGTAAGTAATAYATGTGGTTACTTTTTATCAGTGATRTGGTTTCATCKGTTCAGGGGATTCTTTGGTTTGTCTTCTGCCAGTTTCTATGGCCTTGTTAGTATATGTGAGAATTGTTATTTCCAACAAAGCGCTTATTTCTGAACAGCTCCTACAGCACCATCTGGTGGAGAACTTTCTTGGTTCATTCATGTGCATTGCAAATTCTGCTGAAAGTAATACTTTGACTCTCTTTATCAYCTCTCTTTCGTTTTAAAATTTGTAACATGCACCAAAGAGTTGTTTCCTTGACAACCTAAAACAAGTATCAATGTTGGTCTTAGAGACACTTCTAGTAAAACATTTTTAGTGTTTCTTTGAGCATTAACTTATAAATAAATGTAAATGTAGCTGGAAGTTTTTTATGTATGTGTTATGTATAATAGATGAGCGCACAATATTTTACAGTAAATTTTTTTTTTCCAGGATGAAAATATGATCAGTTTTATCAAAGGTGGCCTCAAAATTAGGACRAGTTATCGAATATACAAGTAAGCTATTAGAAAACAATTTCAGTGTTGGTATAAGCGGTTAGAGAGGCATTAATGCCCCTAAAATAAAAATAAATGTTTTTGTAGCAATCATAGTAATTATACTTAATATAATTTCTGTGTCATGTTTCCCYTTCCTTCCTTTTTTTCTCCATCTCAAGAGAATGTCATCAGGTGCTACAGATGACTCAGGGGAACAAAAGCAAAATTGAAACTTACTACCAGTTTGAAGGAGGAGTAAAGCTTGGAATTGGAGCATTCAACTTGGTATGACTTCTTCCACTACAGAAAGTCCACTGGGATAATTCTGTAGGACTGTCTTTGTTTGCATATGCAGTGATGTAACTGATTTAACACTGACACTTTTGTAAAATGGAATCACAGGCTTTGGAGGTTTTATGCAATATGAAAACAGCAGCGACTTCTGCCATGCATGCTTTCTTGGATGTTTCTACTAGTTTATTCTGAACATTTTCATTCTCTGGGAGTAACTAATGTGTATATTTCTGAAGTGGAAAAGCAGCTGCACATACCTTTGTGGCAGGAATTTTTAAGATGTTTATGCTGTTTGTTACAGGATGCCTGGACTGACTGTTTAATTCTAATSCTTCCCATGTATCCCATTCTTTTGCTTTAGTGACATAATCTGGATTCATGTAGATAATTATAATTAGAAGAATGAGCAGTTGTTTACTGAGTTAATGCAAAAGAAAAGTGCATTTTCTTTCCAATTTTCTATAGTTAATTTTCCACATCTGTCATGGCAACAGTGAAAGTTGRTTTCTGCCAGTATGTTAATTTCTGTATCATTCTGGTCTGAAAATTTTGAGTGTGGTCAGAACTCACATCTRTCTGAACCAGTCTTTAAAATTCAAGCAACTGTGTTTGTAAGTGCTCTGACTCCTCCTATTTTTCATAGAGTCTTCTCACTAGAAGGCTTGACAGAAAAAGTGTCTGATGGGCAGAATATATTAGGGTGAATGGAGCTTTTTAAAAACTGACCCTCAAGTAGACCTGCTTAATGCTTTTGAATAGGTAGTTATGGTGTGTGTACGTTTTCTATTGTGTAGGATATGGAGGATGCAGTTACAGAGGGGACAAAAGTGCATATAATATAGGGCTAAACAGCTAGTATTTCTGAAACATTAKGATTGCTAATCTGCTAATCCAGTGCTTCCACAGGAGGAACAAGTAGAGCTTTTGTGATACTACCAATAAAACGAAATGATTGCAAAAGAAGATGACAGTTGTAGGTTGTAAGTAGTAGTAAAATAGATATAATACTTTCATTCCAAAAGACCCACAATTTTCAAGCAATTCTGACCAGCTGAAGATAGAAGCATCTGTCATTATCTAAAGAAGCACAACTGAACTCTGTCTTGCTTTTTTCATGCTGGATGGTCATCAGAATTCTGAGCATGCATGTCTACTTTCAAGTTCTTTTGTGTTTGACTTTTTTACTAATGTATAATAGCATTTAACATAGTAGCTGGCCTTTTTGATTCACGTTTGTAGCAATTTACTTTTGTTTTGAAGTGTACGTGTTTTTAATTATCCTTTCTTCTTTTTCATGTATTTCAGATGCTGTCACTTTTACCAGGAAGGATCCTCCGACTTTTAGAATTTATTGGATTTTCTGGCAATAGGGTATTTGATTTGATACTTGTTTATCCAAATTAATTTTTTCTCAGTTAAAAACTGGATGGATTTAATGTCATATATTTCACAGTGAAAGTATAATTTCTATTGTTTATGAGTATTTTAGTGTTGTTAAAAAGATAAATGGGCTGGATGATACAGGCATAAAAATGCCTACRGTGATACCCCACTCCTTAACAACCGTGGGAAATTACTAGTCTACTTTAGAGGAGATTTTTCCAGTGCAATTTCTTTTCCTTTTGCTGATTCTTAAGTAGAGGATATCAGCTTTCTTTTCTAGTTGATGTAGTCAGAAATCAATGTTTCTCATACTGGTAACTGAGGGAAGAATTATGGGTCTGTGTTTTTCCACCCAAAATCCAAGCCCATTTCTTTGGAAGAAAGATTTCTGAATATCGTGTGTCACCCTGGAATCTAGGTACATCTTTCTCTGATGGTTGAGAAAAGTATATTTTTAACCATAGTCATGTTTTGTAAGCCTAACCTTGTTTTGTAAGCATTTTACAGCTCTTTAAAACACCTTTTCATGCCCATAAGACATTAAAAAGTACCAAATCAGAACCCAAGCAAAAAACCCTAACAAAATTCTACATAACTGAACCTCAAGTTGTTAATAGTACATATGTTAGCATATGATCCATATGGTCTCTTTGCTGTTAGCTTGTCCACAGTATGGTTCTCCTTTTGTAAAATTAGACTTCACTACAGACCTAGTTTATTCTGTACTCCCTCTGAAAGACCTGGTTCATGCTGAAGCTCTTCCACAATATACATTTTTTCCCTGACTAAAAAGGCAATAAAGGCTGAAAAGAAAAAAAACAATTTGAAATATAATCACAATTTTTTTTATGTGGTACTTGAATTCCCCTATAATTCATCCAGTTGCTATGCAGTAAAACTGATCTGTTCATGTTTGTTTTGAGGCCAAATCATGTTTCTGARGAGTTTCTGTTGCTCTTGAGCAGGGAAGCTCTGAGCTCATCTCAAGATCCCCCAAGCAGTCAAGCTGTTAAGTAGTGGGTCTAAACTGGAGAGTAAGGGAAGTCTCATGTGTTAAGAGCTGCATAAGGCTCTATGAATCTGAATCTGTGTTTAGACTGATGTATCAGCAGACGTAATATTAAGGTCAGAACCTCAAAGCAGCAGCTGACTCGAWGGAAGAGAATTGAGGGTAACCAGGRTTTTCTGTGGAGGAAGACTCACACCAACAAGTAACAGTGCAGCAGTTGTGGGAGTTTCCCACTGAACATAGGTTGAAGGGTGTTTTCTGTCTGAAAGGMTCACAGTCAGAAAATAATGGGGAAGGGTTGTAGACTTGTCTCACTGCATGGTTCATGTGGTGTTCACATCTCACCAGAGCACCAAAATGCATGGGTAATTTTATTCAGAGTTAGATTAGTCTTCTCCTTTCTGAGTGCTATTAGCTGTGATAGAGCGCTTTTGGTAGAGGGTTCTGTTGGATTTGAGATGATTAAGTACTGCATTACGAAATACTTGTATTTGAAAGGAKAACTGAATTTTGGTTAGCCAAAAAAGAATTAATAGTAACTCTGTATACTCATAGTTAATTCTGCATGTGTTTGTGATATTTCTTAGGAGTTGGGCCTCTGCCAACTACGGGAAGGCGCATCTGGCAGCAGTTTGAGGGCCATTCTGTGTACTTTCACCCTGTTGGTTTATCATACTTACGTCTCCTTAATCCTTGGTGAGACCCACTGTGTAGCTTTTCAGTCATGCTACACCTTATGATAGATACTGTGATTTATTTTTATAACTGAATTTCAAAATGGTGGCCAAATAGGAGATTGCTGTATACTTAATTATGATCTGAAATTAATATCCGTGACAAAGCTATGTCTTCAGAAACAGTGAGGGTAGATAGCATTATACTAAGCAGCATCTTGCTCTATTTGCATGCCTGTCTCAACATGTGACTGCAAAATATTGCAGAATAGCGTTAAATTCAGAAAAGTCATTATCCGTAAATTAACATCAGATATCATGAAAACTATCTGCCTATACACCCAGAATTAAATGCTTCTGCTGCATAGAGCTAAAAGTCATAATTAATTCTGTATATTTCTTTGCCATGTATTTTTGCGTTCTCTAATTTTTAAATATTTTAGTCCTTGTCCCTCAGGCTCATCAGGAAATTAAGGAGAACTTCATTTCTTCCAGTATCACTTGTATTTCATTACTGAAATTAGAAAAGGCAATTGAGGAATGCTTTCCTAACTTGCTAAAGCAATTTAAGGGGTTTATAAATATAACTAGGATCTATAATGGAACAGTTTGAAGAATRTTATCATTTTAGTCTGTCTCTACTTAGACATAGAGTACCTTAAAAGCATGTAGTACCTTTGGGACAAGAATTTAGTTTTATAGAAACACAATATGATGAAATAATTCCACTTTCACATAAAAGCAACTATCCATTGATCTGTCAAAGTCATAAGGTGATTTGAAAACAAAATCTTAGTCTGTGAAACTTGGGGGTTTTTAAGTATATTGAGGTTGATTTGTTATGTTTTCAAGGTACAGGGGAAGCCAACCTTCAGGAAGCAGACAGTCTCCTTGAACCCTACCTCCAGAAATTTCCAAATGTGCGTATTTTCAATAAATTTTATAACAGAAATGTACTTCCCTAAGCTCAAAATCTTAACTGATTCTTTTTCTCATCTCCTTTCAAGGGTTCCATTATTCTGTTTTATGCTGCCAGAATAGATATACTGAAAGGAAATTTTGAAAAGGTRAATTTGTTTTTTCTTTCTAAGTTTTTATTTGTTTAGTGTTTTTTATTTGTTTAGTGTTCAACCAGAGAGGGAAAAATAATTTATTTGTCTAAGTATGCTTTAGTTGGACTGATAAGTGTRGTCTTGTTCTCTGTTCATGTTTACTGTCAATGTTGATTCCAGTCCACTCTAAGTGAGACTGAAAGGGAAGTTTATCTCATTTTACTTGTCAGGGGTTCACCTGGGTGCTAGGTAAGAATTTGCTCTGTAATTGGACATGGCTCTCACATGGAGCTGTAATTGAGCCAGTTGTCATCATTCTTCCTTAACTATTCATAGGCACAGTTGAGGTTCCAAGACTGCATAGCAGCCCAGCAAGAGTGGAAACAGATCCATCATCTCTGTTACTGGGAACTGATGTGGTGCTACACCTTCCAGCAGGATTGGCTTCAAGCATATCGGTATGCAGACCTGCTCAGCAAAGAGAGCAGGTGGTCTAAGGTAAATGGGCAAGTGGACATTGTCATATTCAGTGGTCTCTACAGTTAAAGTTACTTTTCAGTTTGCACAATAAGYGTAATTTTTGCCTTCTTGTAAAACTCTTAAGCAGCGATACARTGGCACCAAAATGTTTTAACTGGATGATTAAGGATGAATTTTTATTTCACGYTTTGAAGCACCAGAGCCATAAGCAGCAATGCTTTGGCCAAAACCAGAGTTACTTAYCTGAGTTGAGAGAAAGAAGAGAGATAGGAAAACTATTAACTTGGGTTTCAATYGTAACACTCTGTTGTTTGTTGACACCTGCTCAGCAGATGCTTTGTTACACAAAATAAGAAGGCTGCTGGGGACAGGGTCTCACCAGAAAAGCTGGGCTATCAGATAACTTGTCCTTGTAAAAACATCTCTCRAAGTATGAATTGAGCACAGTGTTGCAATAATTTTTTATGTGTTATTGTTGTCTGCTTCTCTGTAGATTGCTGTTTTATTATGCTTAATGAAAAAGGGTATACGTCTATTTCTTGGTAAAAGAGGAAGAGAAAACATGAAGAGCAAATGTCTTGAATAGAGTTATGGGTATTTCTCTTTTTTCCCCTCTGCAAAACCCAGTTATTAAACTCTCCTTGAAGGGAATCAGTACTCAGATACTTCCTTCTGTTTTTTTCAAGCATGTCCCTTACATGTAATGGATCATATAATAACAGCAATGGACTTTAGAACAGTTAGGTCATTGAACTTCTGCTCTTTAACAGTGATTATCATTTTGATAATGACTTCTGTTCTTTGCAGGAGACACCTTTAACTTTCTGACTAACTAATTAAAAATATTAATAAATTCATTGAAAATAAAGCATAAACTATATGACCAAGGGAATGCTAGACTTTTACAGCTCTACCCACCTGAGAATTACTGGTGCTTTGCTGCAGCAGTTAGGGGAGAGAGTTCTTAGTGTATTGATTGAGCACAGCAAATTAGATGTGGTAATATGATGCTGTTTCTTTTTGAAATAGGCAATATATGTGTTCCAGAAGGCAGCAATTCTGTGTATGCTTTCAGAGGATGACTTGAAGAGGACGGGTGAGGACATAGTGTCTTTATTCAGGTAAGTATTTATAAAGCAACTGGAAGGGCACACTTTCCCCCCAAGCCTTTGTCTTGAATTACTTCCTGCTTATAACCATAAACTTCGCAGCTTTTCTCCTTGCTTTTTGCAGTAGAATATTTTAAATACTGCTTTTATCAGCAAAGATATATCCTACAACTGTTGTCTACATGCTGTAAAGTGATTTTAAGATGTTAGATGTTATGCTTCAGAGGCAAACAGCAAATCTTGCTAAGTGAAATGAGATTAAAAAAAAGTACAGATTAACAACTTCTGTTTTCCATTTTCCCTTCTTATAGACAAGTGGATGGTCTGAAACAGAGAATTGCAGGAAAATCTATCCCAACTGAGAAGTTTGCAGTAAGGAAAGCTCGACGCTACGCTTGTCCTCAACCAGTGAAGTTGATATTACCTGCCTTGGTATTTGTCTTTKTTTTCATCCTTTTCAAACAGAAAAGAAATCAGTATACTTTGTTGTACAGGGAAGGAGTAATATTGTCAGGTGTTAYGTGTCTGCATTCTAAATTTTTTTAAAAAATAAATACTGCATTCATGCAATATGATTTTTGTGAAAAGTATTTGGGGGCTGGATCATACTACCAGCTAGTAGCAGTCCAAAACAAGTGCCRGGTTTTTCACATGAAAGTTCAGTCATTCTGAGGATGATTGCTGTTGCAACAAGGCTGTAAGTCATCTTTAAGCTACAAACCTACATTTACATTCTTTAGGTTGGCATGRTCTTAGTCGTTGTCTTCTAGACTCATTGGGAAGTTAAGGAGTACTTCAGTACTTCTGTTCTGATGAAAATGAAGAGTGTTCATTTGGGTTGGGTTTTGTTGTTTCTTTTTCTTCTTGCACTGAATCTGTGATTAAAATGTGCAGGAGTTAAAAATACTTTGTAAATCCTATTCTAATTTCCCATATTTTAACTTCAGAGGCATTAGTATAGCACAGTCTGTATGTGCACAGCAAYGGTACTTTTCATATATATGCTAAAATCTTTGTCATGCATAATTTACCAACAGCTGTACATGAAAAACATAATTCAAGGAGTTTCTTCTTATGTTAAAGCTCATCGATATGGAAAAAGGAATAAAAAAAAAATTGATCCACCAATTCTAAAATTCATTCTATATTAAATTGCATGTAGAGGTCTAAGTAATAAAAYTGTCTTGGGCTTGTACAGCAGCGTGCTTGTGAGTATATTTATTAGGTCTTGCAGTCAAATCCAGTATACTTTCATTTAAGAATTGTATAATCATGGATTAGGCATAAACAAAAATAGTGTAAGCTGGCCAGGACTGCAGAATTGAAACAAATCTAGCATGATCTAGTTGATGGTGTTAATAACACTGTTTCAGACTTTCACAGAGACGGACTTTTCCTCCTTCTGAACACCCACATATTTACAATACAAATACAAGTGGAAATATTTCAACCATGCATTGTGTCAGCTTCAGAATGACATTAGGTTTCATATTTCAGAGGTGTGATTACAGTTACAGTAGAACAATGATACTCTCGTTTGTGATGACTGAGTAAATATCTTGGCAAAGCTCCTTGTTGGGCTGGCATTAGCCCTCATTCTCCTTAAGTTTTACAATGTGATAATGTATCAAAACAAGCGTATTGCTGTTGTACTGAGGCATCTGGGAAGATGTGTATCCAGGATTTGCCTTGGTTTTTTTCCAACAAGATTTTGTAGGAATTGTAAAATGATGTGTTGAATGTGCTTGCTAGAACCACATTTTTATCCAGAAAGTTGTATCTACTTCCAGTTTTGCTCTGTATGGAAGATAGTRGTCTATATGGATTTGAGCATCTATAGATTGATAAACACAAGAGTTTTGGTGGTTTTGGGTGCATGCTTTTATAAGTATACTGTATATGCATGCACACACTCAAATGCACACCAAATTTACCTATCATTCTTTAGAGAGAAACTACTTTCAGCTCTTTCTTTACTTCAAGTGGCAGAAGCCACAAGTTGAACCTGAAACACCCAGTTTTGCTGATGTTATGTGGCTGATATTAAAATGTCACATGAGGAAATCTGTTCAGTTTAATTTTGAAAATCTGTGAAAACATGTGATAATAGAATCCATTAAAAAGGTGCCAGAACATTCAAAACTCAGAAATCCAGGTCAACTTTGTCAACACACTTCAACGTAATTTTTCCTATTCATGGACCTTTTCTATTTTTTAAAACAAGCTTCTGTAGTATTTTTATGTACACAAAATTTTTCACAGTAGCCTTTTTAGAGGTACTCTTTAGTTAAATATTTATGCAATTCCTTGAGTTTGTCTTACCTTTTTTTTTCTTTGTGGTTGTTTTTTCCTTTTGGTCAGGAAATGATGTATGTCTGGAACGGATTTGCRATTGTGGGCAAAAGAGCAGACCTCACTGAAAACTTACTGGTAACAATTGAAAAAGAAGAAGSTGCTCTACAAAATGAAACTAGTAAGTGATATATTAAGGTGGAATTAAAAATCTTATAGGAAATGCTGACACTTTTCTGTGCTTCTATCTTCTGATATTCTGTTAAGTTTAAGTGTTGACTTGGATAATGTACTAAYTAAGTCCGAGTATGGAAAGTTTAGAGCCATGTGAAAGTTAGGAGTGGTTCTTCAATGCGTTCTTTATCCAGCTCAATTGATCCTGCAAATACAGAAACCTCAACGACATGAGGTTATTTGTTACAGAACATGACTGCTGTAGCTTAGTTTTTCTATTCTTTTTGAGTGTTCTTGGGCCATAATCTGCTAATGTCTTAAATGTTTGTAAAATAMTTTTTCTAAACCAATTTATATCACACAACTTTACTACAGAGTACACAAGCTGCATAGAATATGAGAAAGTATAAAAGATAACAATGAATGCTATGCATGAATGATTCTGGGTTTTGTTTTACTTTCTGGCAAAATAAAACATGCTTGCTAGTTGTAAGATAAAGCATGCTTAACAAATAAAYTTTAACCATGGTTTTGCATCTTGGGGTAATGTTTAGAAAATCAGCTCATAACTTACTCCTAAAAGAATTTAAATTCARTTATTGCAACTGGTTTACTGCCCAGGTACTTTACTTTATCAGATGGGTGCTGTCACCTGTCATGTTAATTTTTTGGTAAATTTAAAATRTTTCTAGAATGAATAAATATTATCATTTTGTATGTGAAAATTTTAAAATGATAATTCACTAAAAATAATTTCAGTTGAACCCAGATTTTAGTCACACCAACAATTTAACTTAGTTTTACAAGCTGTTGAAACAGCAAATATGAAACTAAGATGTATCTAAGTATGACTTGCAGTGTAAATTGAGGCGATGCATAAGAAGTTATCCAAGGACTTGCARAAGTATGTAATGGTCAAATCTGGAYTATATGATAAACCAAATGAGGGTATGTGTGGCCATGTTTGAATTGGGTTCCTTTAATTTTTTTGATGCACTTCACTTTTCTTCAGAATCTGCAGTGTGCCTCTTAAATCTCAAATGGTTTTCTTTTTTGTTGTGATATTATAATGAAAGTGTAGTGATATGCAAGGTATTTGCAAARAAGTAATGTTCCCATGAGCTCCACATGGAGGGTTGTGGCAGAACTTTTTTTGCAAATCCAGTGCTGTATTATTCAAAAGCTTATACTGGAAGTGCTCATCCATTGTAACAGTGAAGCAAATTTCCTGTCAAATGCCTAAGTAGAGATACAAGGTAGCAAAATGGAGGCAATGGAGATAAAACCATTGTGTTTTTCTTATGAAAATTCAGTATTTGCACGAAGGATATAATCTGGAAATGTTTATACTTTGTGTCTTTTTTTAGTAATAGCTTGAGTCAAATAAAATTTTGTTCTGGGCTTCGTATATGTGATCTTGATCTGCTTTTAAAGATACAGAATCTGAGAAGATAAAGACTCTGATTACCAGAGTTGCTGATGAATTCCCCAGAAAAAGTGATTAAGGCTGCTAGCAGAGTATGACAAGATTACAATATAATTTTAAGAGACAGTTTTTAGTAGTAGTAGCATCAAAGGATTGCTAAAGTGCTGTAAAAAAGCGTGTTGATTATACACAAAGGTCACTTAAAGATTGAGACATCTTAGAACTGTTTTTACTTCATTTACTGTGTGTSAACAGGCACAGCAGGCCATCTCTCAAGGACTGAAAGTCATTTTATGTTGTACAGAGCTGAAAATAGAGATGGTTGAAGGAAGAAATGAAAGACATCAGAGATGGAGGGTTTTTGTTGGTTTTTTCCCACAGGATTTTTAGGAACCTTATTTTTTACAGTTTTTTTCTTTTCCAATATATAAAAAAGCAATATCTAACTTCTTTTCGTTCAAAAAAAGAAAAACTCTTTTTTGGCATGTTTTATTATTCTGGTAATGATACTTCCTTTGGTGTAGAGCATTGCAGCTGCAAAGATGGTTCTCCCACATTTATTGCCAGGTATTAAATTGGCCTGTGCATTTGTTGTCATTTAGTGTTAATGTGTTGGCATAATGGCTTTTATTCTTCTGGGAAATAACAAGGAGATACTAGTTGAAGTTGTTAAAGGCTGGCGAGCCCTTACTGACATCAGTGAATGCCCCCAGTAATTTCAATAAATGGGTCCTTCAGGAGRTAGTCACAGAATCCAATACCTTATCCTAGTGAAACAGGCAAGAGGGAGTGCAAAATACTCATGCACTGCACTTCTACTATCACTAAAAGCGCAGTCTGTCAGTTACAATCTATCAAGACTTTCTGGGTTTAAACACAGACAGAAATAACRCTGAATGTAGTGGCAAAGCACTTTGCTGAATCCTAAAATGCTTTAGTCTTGCATGTTTCAGAACTGTTTACGTAGGATTTCTTTGGCAGACTATTAAGGAAAAAATTAACGTGACCTTAGAGAGCTGGTAATTAGTTGTAAACAACATGATCTGAAGGGAGAGTGTTTTGCTTCCTGAATTGTTAATGTATGTGCTGCCATCTGTCAATCCATATGTTTTCTTTCCTTTCTTTTCCTTCCTTGTACCCAGCAAATGCTACAAACTAAAGGAACTAAAAAGAATCACACTTGTTAAGTAAATTTTGAATTAATTCAAACCCCCTCTCTCATCTGGTATTTTTAGTCTTATTGAACAGAAAGCTTTATTGAATTTTGTAAATGTTATYCACTGATAGTGAGGCTTCTAAACATTAGAGATGATAGAATTACTAATAAACATGGTTTCTTGAATTTGTACTGCAAAATGGTGCTTCTGARGAGTTCTGTAGGACAGAGTTGTAGTGTGGTTTTGTGTTTTTTTTTTTCATGTTACTGGTGCTACTGGAGATCTGCAGTTCTCTGTAATGAGGAAAGCTATGGAGATAATGTTATGGTTTCTGTCTCCATCGTAGTTTTTGCTTTTGCAAGTACAGAAATCTTTGATTAATGACAATTTATGCCGGTTTGTTGGATGCTTCAATTTCTTCTTATTTTTTCTTTGCCTGTCTTTTAAGGGAATAGACATATATATATGTCATAGACACATATATTTTAGTAGACAGTATTTTAAATTGTGCCTGAAGGTTATGTACATTTTGAGGTATAAACCATGAGAAGCGAGGTCCTGAGTCTGAATACATATTCCCTACTAAAAAATCTAGTTTTCCTTTTCATAATGTCTTCAAATTGTTTGACATATCTTGCTTTTACTGTTAGATCACAATGAATATTATGTGGATGATATGTGCATGTTGCAGCTACTGAAAGGCCTCTGCCTGAAACACTTGGGAAGACTCATGCAAGCTGAGCTATGTTTCAGTAAAGTAATTCAAAGGTAAAAAAATTGCAGAAATAGATTTTAAACCTCTCTATTTTCTAGCTTTTGGTGGCATTGCTGATACTCCTGTAGTAGCTGTCATATTAGAATTTTAAATAATTAAACATTCTGGTCAGGTGCTGGAATTCAAATACCACTGGAAGTACTTAGAGAACCAGAAAACTTTGCTTGCTTTTGCTGTAGCAATTTAACACTTATTATAGCTTTATGTGTGTATCTTTTAGACTAAATAAATCAAAATGTCTGGTAATGTATCCAGATACATCTGGAATTGCATTTGCAGAGCTGTCTGTATGTAAAGACAATTCACACAGGTTTTCTGTTTTTGTTTTTTTATTCAGTATTATTGCATCAGTAATTAATACTTCCCCATGTAGATGAGAAATTGTTGTTACATGTTTCAGTTTTGCTTGTGTTATGGATTTACCAAATACTTCAGGTGTCAGATCCATACCAGCTGTGATAGCTTTTCTATATGAAACATGAGTCAGAAACTGGTTGTAGTTGAAAAGTTTTGAGATGTTTTAAAGTATTTGGGCTGAAGAAGCATTTTTACACATCCAATTTTTCTAACAAGTAATGTAGAAAAATTAATAATAGTATTTTTTATTCAGAATTATGTGTGTTTGAATTTTTTGCCTCTTGTTTGCTTGCATCTTGTTTGCTCTCATRGATTTCTAAGATCCCTGTGAGTTCAAGCAATTTACAAGTTACAGGGTGGAGGGGTTTGATTGATTGTTGGTTAAAGGAATGCTATTTATGAAAAATCTTTCCAAAGGTAGTTTGCAWTGGGCAGGCTTTTAGAGCTGAGATATTAAAAAAGTCTAAAGACAACAATTCTCCAGAAAATGTATGTTTTGCATGGGTRAGAGGAAAAGTTTTCTGGTGAATTAAATACCTATGTCTTGTTCAGCTTCATTTTCTAYATGTCTAGGGCAGCTATAGTACTTTAAGACTATTTATTAATGTGTACAGAGTTAAGCAGTAAAAAAGCTTCCAGAATGTTTTTTTTCTGGCTATGTGCTGTTACAGGCAGGGATTGCTTTTAAAAGTTAACTGGTCACTCCAGAGGGTTGTAAGTAACCATTTCTGTATTTTTCTGTTTTTTTAGTGAGAAGCAAATAAAATATGACAGTTACTTGGTGCCATTCACCCTGTATGAATTGGGTCTTCTGTACAAACAACAAGATGACAGAGAAAAAGCAATAAGATACATAGAAACTGCAAAGTAAGTAGATTCTGTTTCATCACCTTGTAACTTAAGAATATCTGGGTATTTGTAGCAATGAAGGCATGTGTTTTTTCTTCCCAGCTTCTTTGCAAAATCCAAGTAATTATAAATACATATTCTTGATTTGGAAAACTTGTCCAATATGGTTGAATTTTGCAGTTTCATGAAACTGCCCTTCACACACAGTCGAGAAATAAAACACATTATGAAGGGAAAATGTTTCCTTATCATATGGACTTCAGAGATGCTGAGGCTCCACTGCATGCTTGGGGTGAAGCTGGAGAGTCCCAGGAAGAGATCTATGCCACTCTGTCCCAAGAGGGCAGCTATGGGATCAAATCTGCTCCATTAAAAGTGTTAATAAGAGTTGGTTAAAAGCCAGGACATCAGTCTGACCACACCCCTTTTTCCTTTCACATCCTGTCACAGAAGACCAGCTGAGAGTTTAATTTATTGTAGAACAGCATGTTTGCATCATCTGTAGATTGTAGTAGGGGAYAGAATATCCATTGTGTCCACAGAGAAATAAACCAGTCTTGTAATAGTGTACCTCGTGGGGTTTGTTTCATTTGGTTGGTTGTTTTGAGGGGGTAGGATTTACAGAAAATGATTTCTCGCTGTTTAATGACTGTGACTGAATTGTGTTCTGAGATGGAACATACATTTTCAGCTAACACCCTTACTTTTCTGTAGTGTTTTGTCTTGTCTTTTCACAGCAAATTTTAGTAACTGGGAGGGCTAGTAGGATCAAAATAAGTGAAAGAGCTGCTAAGCTCTCACTTTATCAATTTTCCTACTGGTATAAGTCTTCTCTGAGGAATTTGTGGATGTAGCTTCAAATGTCTTGTAACTCATCCATGTGACACTCTCAGTTTCCTGTTGAAGGAATGAAGGCTGTTAACTTACAAACATATGAAGTAGAAACAATCAAGTTCAAACATCTCTTTCTTAAAATGAGTTTTCTGTTTTGCAGAAACAACTACAAAGAATACTCTATGGAGTCCAGGTTGCACTTCAGAATTCATGCAGCMCTTGACAGCTTGAAGGTGTCACCTGCTTCAACACCTTGAGTGAGGAGGGATGCTTTTCATGCATATAATAAATAGCCTACACAATCTTTTTGCAATCTTTTTTTAATCATAGAAAAGAACATGAATGATTGTTTTCTGTCACTTCTGATTTGACATATGTCATTCCTTTAGACTGTTCTTTTTCTGTATAGCGCCTATACTGTATCTATGTGCTACTTCAAAGAAGACCTTATATTTTGTTTGATAAAAATAATTTAATATTTGACTTGAATGGGGGATATTTTTAAAATAAAAGTTGATGGTGCAATAAAGTTTAATGAAAACACTTTATTTTTTTTATATGAGAACAGATGCTGGTTATGCAGTGGAACTGGTGATAATTCTGCATTTTTTGAAAGTTTGATTTTCTGCAGTACACTTGAGACTTTTTTGCCTCTGGAACAAAAATGCAATGTCTGCAGATAATGTTTGGCATACCGTACTCTGAAATTTGTGTTCCAGAGGAAAGAATCAGTCATTTTGGGCTTAATTTTTTTTGGGAACAAAATGAACCTGTCTGAAGTGCAATATTTTTACACTGTCAGATAAGCTAAGCAGGGCTTCAGATGAAGCTAAGCAGGGCTACAGTTAAAATGTCTTTGCAGGTCTRTGTCACTCAAAATAAGTGTTTGTGGGGGATATTTTTCAGTTGCAGAAAAGCAGAGCTACAAAGGACATTAAGAGATCATTCTGTGTCCTTGTTATAAAGTAGAAGCAGCAGTCTTAAGTTGATCTTGACAGATTTGTTTAACCTGTTTAACAAAAAAAAAAGAAGCTTGCAGTAAGAACGTTCATTTTGGAACTTACATAGGATGTCTTTACCAGTGAGAAAAGACGGGRAAATTTTGCCTGATGTCTGCCCCAAATAATTCTTGGCACAACTGAAACCGATTGTTTCCCATCTTCCCTGTTACGTATCTGGAGAAAGGATTTTTTTTTTTCAGACAGTACTTTTAATGCATCTGTGGGCATTATATGTTGAATTTAGGATTATTTTGGTTTAATCTGATTATTGGATTAGGATCTGTTTAATTTTTCTGTGGAAGATGATGGGAACAATTGCCAGTAAAACTTCTATAGTTATGTTAGTATAGTTAGTGTTCCAAATAGTACTTCACTCTAGAAGTGTTGCAACTGGGACTGGAGACTCAGGATGTGGTCTCTGATCTCTTGATTTTGTGGGGAGTGTCTTACAGCTAATATTTTTTGGGTGATTTGGGATAGAAATCAAAACTAACAAAAAAATGAACAATGACCTTCCTTAGAAGCTGATTTTTTCAAAGTTTAGTACAAAGCTTTAAGTAGCAGCGTACTTTGTCCGTGGTTAATGTTACTGACTGAAGAGAGAGTAAAAAAGAACTTAGTTTTCTTCAGTTCAGCCTTCCAATGGTAATATGAGTTTCCTGTGTATGTTATACTTAATTTCTTTTGGGATCAGCCTTTTTGCACTCATGCAGAGAATAGGCTCATCAACACAAATTTGCAATGCTCTCTGTAGTGTTTTGAGGACCTAATAGTAAGTACTACTTAAAGCWTGTCTCCTTTCTGTGCTGCTGTTCCCAACTTTCCTAGAAATGTTGATTGTTCCAGGTTGTTAGCTTTAGGCTTTATTCTGGTTGTTTTTTTCCCAAGTTGTTCACAGTGGAAATGTAAATTTCTAAGACTGACTTGTAACCCTTCAGTTAGGGTAGGTCTCCACAGAGCTGTAAGAAGTGCTTGGTTTTCCAAACAATGCAGAAAAGTGCACATCTCCATGACACAATGCATCACTGATGCAGTAGTATTTAGGACATTRTGTCTGAGTTAAGTGATTTCTGTCTAAGAGTTCAGACAAAGGATCTGTGGCTTTTATTATTTTTTTTTAATCTGCTGTGTGCTATACTGGGCCTTAAATACAGCTCTGATTTAGTCCTAGCTGCTCTTCRTAATATTCACCTCACATGCTCATGCTCTAAGGGAATTTTTAATATTGTACTGAGACTTTGAAACTAAGCAAAGCTGATAATTTGCCTATGATGCTATAGCCTTTCTTGATAATAGTAGGAATTATAATACATACAAGAGCAAACTTAATTTGTTAGTTTAAGCTTACAGTTGCATTATGACAAAAGGTCATTTAGTTCTGATAATAGATTTTTTTTAAGATAAGCAATAATAAGTTCACCTAGTTATAGGACAAAGCTTCTCTTTGATTAAGAATTGCGTATTTAGAAACTATTACAAAAAACTTGCCTGTGCATATCAATCAAATGTTTAATCTGTTGGTGAAAGATCATTGTACTATGGTTTGTAAGCCCTAACTCATCAGTTTTGAACAGAAATTTAAAGCAAATATGTGTTAAAAGAAAACTGATGCAAGATTGTTACATATCTGTTCTAATACTCATTGGTAGCAGCTGTATGTAGCACTTTATGGCCAGAGAAATGTACAATAATCAGATCTTGTTATGTTTATAAAACACCTTGGAAAGTAATGTGTAAAAGAATTGTAACAAATTCAACTTAGATTTTGCAATTATTTTATTACTAATCTTAATGTTTCATGTACTTTGTTTCTGTATATTCTTAAAATGCCTAGTTCAACAAAGAACGTTTATATTTGCCCTGGTGCTGCAGTTTTTTTTTGCTTCTAATCWACTGAAGTTTGCACATGTTCTTATCTGGTACTTGATGAGTAAATGAGGGCAGAAAAACAGATGAGGAATTAAGTGTGTTCTGGTTTGAAGAGCATGTAGAAATGTTCGTTGTGATGTATTGAAATGGATTTTCACTTCAGAGGAATAAATCACATATTATGCTTGTGCTACTGAGTGCTGAATTTGGCACTGTATTCTAGTTGTACATCAAGAACCTCCAGCTGGGATTTACCAAAGYATTATCAGTTAAAAAAGTCTCATCTCTAGTTTAAACACGCTGCCTTGGACATAGAGCTCTTACACAACCTGTCCGGGCTGAGAGGCTGCCCAAAGCTGTCAAGGTCTATTGGGTGAATAAAGGGTGCTTTGAATGTACATAGGAAATATAAAATAAGCAACAAGGATTTTTTTTTGTTTAGGTTGGGGGGATGAGATTGTGTGAGTGGTGTTAGTGTGGTTTTTTTTTTTGTGTGTGTTTTGTTTTTTTGTTTTTGTTGTTTGTGGATTTTGTTTGTTATTTTATATTGGGTTTTGTTTTTGTTTTCTTTTTCTTTTTTTAAAAATCTGGTTAAAAGTCCTGTAGGACAGCTTCATAAAGAAATTTGTACAGTGTGGCTGTTAACTTTGCAATTGGTAGAAGAGTACCCTGTGGAAAAAAAGGTCAAGAATCCATGGTTAGCATAAAAATATAATGCTCAGTGATTGCAAATTAAATACTCTCCTTTTTGTAGTAGTGTAAGTATGTTCTTCCAGTTTACAGAGAAGCACATGTCAGCTAGTAATCCCAGGTAGGAACATTTTCCTACCTTTATTCATCTAAAGAGAGAACTTCTTCAAACACATTAGCAATAGAAGATATCTGTTTTCTCTGTCAGGTCTTTTGTTCCATGAAAATTGTAATCGGCCAGGTTTAATATCTATGCCATGGAAGGATGGAGAATACTCAGTGTACACACCATGTGACTATGGGAAAGTTAAGGTTTTGCTGAAACCTCACCTGAGAGCTTAATGGTGTTAGCTGCTTAAGCATGTAAATGTGTTTCTCAAAACTCAATTTTCAGACTATAAAGTGGATGTAAGACTATATAAGGACAGTTTTCTTGAGATGCTGAGACATATTACTTCAGTATCTACAGTCAGGATGGAGGGATAAGTAAAAYCAGGTTAATGCTACTTATATAGCTTATGTTAGGCTTAACTTGTTCCAGAGCATTAGGAGGTCTTCAGAAATAAATTTGATTGTAGAAAAGAGGGCAGTATGATTTTAAATGTAATTTTATTTTAAGTACAGTTTTGCTCAAGGTGATAGAACTTATGTCCAGGCAAAACACAATGTTTAAATATGCTGAGCTACAGATAAAAAACTTACGTGTGTAACACCGAGCCCAACTTTATAAGGTTGTTTGTCTCTCTTTTAAGAGAGGTTCTCTATTGCATGCATTGATGAACTTACTTAAGCAATGTTCAACAAGGAATCAAGCTGTACTTTAAAATTTCATGTGGTGTAGAACACGCATGCTCAAGCTTTACTTGGAAAAGAAGCATGGCTTAAATCTGTCTCCAGATTCCAGTCATATCAGTCATGTTTTTTTCAAATCCATCTGTATTAGGTTTTACATACAAACATTGGAAACTTCTCGTCATTGACATTAAATGTTAGATGTTCCTTCACCTACTAATAATTGAAGAAAGTTTAGACTTGTTTTTTTTTTATAATATGGGTAAAATGAAATATCAGTTTCTTTCCACAACCCAGAAGAAAGAAAAAAAGTACTTCTCCTGTAGTTTACATTAATTTTATTAGACTGTTCATATGCTGTGGAAGCAACTTATTTAATTTACTGCAATCAATAATACTAGTAATGCTATAATAATTGTGTTTACTGCATAATGAATCTTTGAAGTGGAAGCTGCTTTGATTCAGATTTTTGTGAGAAAGAAAAAAGGTGAAAGTGGAATGTGTTGTGAGGAGTTCAGAGTGTCCGTAGAAGACGAACAGTTACATCAGGACCTTACTTTAAATGCAATGTACTCTGGAGGCCAATGACAGTGCATCTAGTGGATATCAACTTACAGGCTGTTTTTCTACAAGCTAATATTTTAATAGTTTAAGCAGAAGAAAATAAATAAGCTTTGCCTGACAAATAAAACCTGCAACCCAAAATACTGTATGCTGTTGAGTAATACCAGTTCTTATTGAACAAGTCAGTCTTTTAAGGAATCTGGGAAAAAGCCAGATAAACTTACAGCATTTTGGATATGTGCTATACTGAAGGTTAAGAGTTGGAAGGGAGCTTAAMGATCATCTAGTCCCAACCTCACCCTCTCCATGGGCAGGAGCACCTTCCCCTAGACCTGGTTGCTCAAGGCTTTCTCCAAACTGGCCTTYGACTCTACCRGGGATGTGGCATCCACAACTTCTCTGGGTAACCTGTTGTMGTGTCTCACCACCCTCACACTAAAGAATTTCTTCCTAGTATATAACCTAAATTTCCCCTCTTTCAGTTTGTACCCCTTGCTCCTTCTCCTGTCACTACAGGTCCTGAATCCCCTCCCTCACCCTGATTTTTTTTTRTGCAGCCCATGGTGTTGTTGGCTTTCTGGACTGCTGGTGCACTTTGCCAGCTTATTCTCAGTTTTTCATCAACCATCCCCTCAAATCTTTCTCCCCAGGAGATGTCTTATCTCCATGGATACCTGCAGGAGTTTGAAGTAAGCTAATTGAAATTAAATTATGTATTTTCTCATCTAAACACTTCTTGTCTTCAGTGCCACTTGGTAAGTTGATGTGCCTTACATCATGAATATTTGGGTGTGGGGTTTTTTTTTTTTTTTTGTTAATTTATATTAAAACTTTCATGTTTATTTGATGTTACCCCAATATGTTACCCCAATAGTATATTGCAAAAGGGATAATAGTTTTGAGACTGGATTTCACTTCAAAACTGACTTTAATTTTTTTGATTGATTGCCATTGGCAGGACAAAAACATTCTGGTTTCTGAAACAAAAACATTCTGGTTTCTTAACTTCAGGAATCTTACCCACATGCACCTAAATGAGTTTAAGTCTACCAATCGGAATACCCCCCAGTTTATCATCTGGAAATTTTGTCTTGATGGACTTTGGRAACTGTTAGATGCTCAGTGTTTCTGTTGTGTGAAACCC